TCACCACTCGCCCCTTTCCGTAACTCGCTATTCGGCTTGTCCCGGAATAACACGAGTTGGTCACGAATGAAGCGCGCTGTGCTGACATGCCTAAGGGACGCAACTCCACACGGCAATTCGTGGCGCATTGGACGACTGGATCAACCTAAGTATCGAAGTTACGACAATCGTTGAGCTATAAGCGCTTTGCGAAACGGTGACGCAACCCTATACGACGAATTGGGTCGCATTAGACCTCCCTTAATGTCCCTTTGAGTGGGTGGTAACCAGATCAAACAGTTTGGGATTATTGAGAAATGAACAGGATATATAAGAGGGTGTATATCCGCACATTTGAGAGCTTATACGTCTTCCTGACGTACTGTGTGCGTGTGTGCGAGATAGACTTTTTGACTCTGTCTGTATAAACTCTACCACTGAGCCAATGTGATTTCCTGACGTAGACAGGTGTCGTCGTCATTACGAAGACTTTTCGAAACCAATTCATGCAACTTCTCGAAAAGACGTCAGTTTCCGATCAATTAGAATCAGACTGGACATACGTGGCATTAAAACGTATTTCGCTTTCGAATTAACAGTGAGATTATATCATCAGCTCTGTAAATCTAAGCACGTCAAGATGTTTGGTCTCAATCTATGGCTAGGATGGAACAGAAACTGTTGTAGTGCCTTTCCGTATGGTTTCCGCAGCAACCATGATTGAAAGTTAGGAATTTCAAATGGTGATTCTAAAATCACGAACTGGCCCGCGGTAACGAAATTAAAACCGAAAGTTTTCGCATTTTAAGGACGGGTCCTTTTATTGACTGCATGTTTCGCGACTTCGTAATGCAATTGGCGCGTTGAGCGTTCACACGTCCACAGGCTAAGCGAAGGAAACGGGGCGAAACATTCTCAATAATTGTGACATTGTGCGTTTTCGTCTTACCACTGGATCAATTACAACACTCCCCATGGGGGGCGAAATTGAGGTCTTTCACGCGGCTGTGAAATGTTTATAACAGTAAAAGCTGCAACTCAATACAAGAGAGAAAAAGGCTTAACGAGACGCCTTAACATGGCGCGCCCCGAGGGTTGAGAGATGGGTACGGTTTGTATGACTGGAACGCTCTAAAATTAACAAAATACCCACTTGAAAATCTCACGATCGTACAAAGTAATCTTCGATAAGATTATTCAACATGACTTTTCTTCAGATTGGCTAGCGTAATGAGCGAGAAGACCCAATCTTTTTATACAGAATAAACGTTGTTAAGTAAGCTCGAACCTCGGAATAAATTTACCTTGTTTGTTTTTTCGGATATTTTTCTCCGAAATCCATTACCAAAAAGGTGCAATGTGGGGAAGGAAAGCTGTTATCTAATGATAACTCAATTATGTCTCAAATTGTCCATTAGTGAAAGTGCAGTTTTTATGCTTTGTGTTTTGAAATGTACCATGAATCGTAGAAATGTTCCACCAATAAAGAGCACACAACTTTACACTCGTGGTTAACGGTTAACGGAAACAATCGAATCGTGTAACAATCGAAAAACACGGCACATAATCTATTATACCTCAGATTGGATGCTAACTTATACTTCATGTAATGAATCTCCCGTATCAACTTTACTACAGTAAAAAGGCCGTTATGGAGGAAAAACGTCTTTCATAAATCGCTAAAAGGAACCTTTTTCTTATCTTATTTGTGTAAAATATAATTAAGGAAAATACTCTGTTAATGCAATAATAAAGCATTCAATTATCAAACCAAGACATTTTGAGTAAATCACAAAAAAGTGTTACATTAAGTGCGTTTTTTTAGAATGCCATTTATCATGTATAATCAGGAATATTTTACCGGCGCTTCTCTCAACTCCTGATTGGGCAGAAAACGGCCAATGATTCAAGCACGTCTTAAGCTACCGAGCAAGTACAATGCAAAGTGTGTCAATGTGCACGGAAACACACGGGGATGAGAGTATGTGCTGTGTAGCAAGAGTAGTATACATGCTTGCGACATCATGTTGAGCCTGGCGGGACAACAACCCACATTTCAAGTACACTTTATCAAGTTTTTGATAGTCATTTAGAAGTTGGAAGAACATGAGGGCATGACACTTTCATGGATAAGGTTATCCATTTCTGGTGTTCCCTGCCGGGAGATTGCTGGAATATTGCTAAATGCGGCGTAAAACCACACTCACTCACCCACAAAGATAATACAATATGGCGAGGAAGACAAAGGGATTCACGGAATAGAAGTCACTTAAATACATAGTTACAAAGCATATAGACGTTTCTGTCCATAAATAGTTTCATGTTTTCATACTCATTATCGGCTTACCCATTTAACCTCTCTATACAGTTTGACTGTACATCTACCGCGGTACAACACATTTCATGTTCACCGGCGTACTCATCTACCATTTTAATTACGACCCAAAGAGGGTCGCGATTGCCGTTATATTGTGCTGTTATGTCACGTGATAGTCACGTTGTCATATGGCAGCGTAATGTATTGTTAAACAATGTTGTAATCGTATTACATTGTTTCTGCTGAGAGTCAGTGGACGTTCATAGCATGTGTTTTAACAATAGTTAGTTGTAAAGAATGTAGTACTCTCTAATGTAAATAGTGGTGTGAAAGTTACTATTTGTAGATGCTGTTGGAGTCAAGTTTGATATGGAATGTTCTAGAATAGCTAGACTAATCCAGCATGATATTGAAATTTCCAGAGGAGATTTTGGCTATTTATTGTAACGGGCGTGCCTCTCTCCTCTCACATTACATCAAGACCAGTGTATGTGTTAAGATCATTGTTTTCACCCTTATTATCCAGCCTTGACCAATGTGGCCCGAAGGTGAATATTATTGCCACTGCTATTATATTTTTTACTACCGTTGTAATTGTACTGCAATTGTATTTTGTCCTGCCACTCTATTGTGTACTGCTATTGTAATTGCTGTGCTGTAATTTGTGTTGATTTGTAAACCTGGTTCATTTTATAATACAATTGTTAATTGTATACCATTCTTTGTTGTTTGTTGGTTTCATATTGATGTTTTTACGTATAAATTTCTTGGTTAACTTTTTGTATTTAATTTGAAGTCGACACGTGAACTAGAGAAACTAGTAAATCCAGTTTTAATATGGATTCCTCCCAGTCATTGCCGAGATAACTATGGGATTCAGTATATCCGAGTGGCGCCGAATTAACTGTATAAATGTTCAATTGAATGAGTGAGTATGGCTATTACGCCGCTTTAGCAATAAAGACACCAGAAATGGGCTTCACACATTGTACCCATGTGCAGAATCGAACCCGCGTTCAATTATCTTGGTTGCACTTTTGAAATCTAACTGTTAAAACAATGCAGACGACGGTATCAAACCAGGCTCAGTCACTCACTCACTCAGTCAATCAAATCCAGTCCTATCACTTTGGTCAAATGATTAGAGTGAGTGAGTTGATTTTAGGTTTATATTCCAGCAATATCCCGACTGGGGGCATTGAGGATGTACCCATGTATGAAATCGAAACTAAGACTCGAGTAAACGCTTTGGGCTACCCCATCGCATACTAGTATGACGGTCTTCAGCAACCAATGCCTGCTGTAAAGGGAGACAATGCTTGTCGTAAGAGGCAACTAGGGGGATCGGTTGGTCAGGTTCGCTGACTGGGTTGATGCATTTCATTGTTATCCAATTGCGTGGATCGATGCTCATGATATCAATCACTGGCTTGTCGGGCCCAAATTTGATTATTTACAGACCATTAAACGGCGTTAAACTACAAGCAAACAAACTAGTATGACAGAGGCACACTGTGTGTGTGTGTGTGTGTGTGTGTGTGTGTGTTTGTACTAGTCCGGACTGATGCCGATTTATAGTGCTAGCTCACTGAGATACCATGCCGCAGTTTAACATGTATACCCCACTCAGACACAGCATACTGACTCCGAGCCGACCAGTCCTTGTTATGGCCCCTTAATGCCGAGCTCCAGACAGGGTAACAACAAGTACCATCTTTTAACGTCTTTTGGTATGGCGCGGTCGGGGATCGAACCCGGACCTTCCGCTCTCCGGGCGGACGCTCTACCACTAGACCACGGAGGCGGTCTGTACTGGGAGGAGGATGCAGTGCTTAAGAACGTATATTTGCGTGGTAAACCTTATTACACGTGGTTAGAGAGCAGTAAACCTAGCACCTTATCAGGAAATGGGGGAAGTTGGTAATGTACGTGTGTACTTTATTGATTTACTCATCAATAAAATAAGTAAATATCTGCATACTGGTGAGAGGGGTTGATTGATAACACGATTGATCGAAGATGGCTGTCGATGTACTCGATGTGAGTTATGCCATTAGAACGAACCATGTCAACAAGCAAATCATTCATCCGCTGACCAGTCCCGGTCAATATAAAGATGATTTTGATAAGATGCTATCCCTCAAACACTGACGTCAAGAATATCAATTAACCCTCAAAAGAGGTCGAAGGTCGGCATGACCGTAGCCCTTTTAGCCTGTAACCCTTCAGATAATGATGCCTAAGCGCTAAAGCTCATTGCTCATCAATGTCCTCGTGGTCTGGGAGTGCAAACATGTCGTTAACGCCGCATAGACAGCACCCGATTAAATCCCTCCCGCGGGATAATTTGTTTAGATACCCACCAAACAAACATTGCTATCCTTGTAATGAGATTAATCTTTGATTATTTTAGAAGACCTAAGGCTTTTTACAGCGGGTATTTGCATATAGACAGGATTTCTTCAATAAATATACTGTTATTGTTAAACCCATCTGTTGTGGAGGAATGGTCGTTTTGTGAGCATGAACTCAATTGAAAAGATCATGTGTCGTTGAATGTAAAATTAAACCCAATCCGTTTATATAAGAAGGTGATTCCTTATAATTCCGCCCTTCAGCTATCACCATTTCAAGGTAAACATGACATGACTGCAATGAGATGGATATTTGTATTTGAAATAAACATGGTTGACAAACATGACGACAGAGACGACAATACTTTATTCATACGGGTTTAAATACCGCCATTTGGAAACATGAAAAAAGGTATCCTCCTTCGGGATGGTTAAACAGACGAAATCGGATCCCAGAGACCTTAATAAAGTCGTTACATTCTAAATTACCAGGACGAATAGCTTCGCGAAAAGATTCCTTCTGTTCTCAGTGCACAATAAACAGGCGAGCAGTCTGTGGAAACTGAGTGCGTGATGTAATTACTGCGACCACTGTACGGAGCATGACGAAACCAGAGTGCACACACACCTTGATCAGAGGCGCGCGGCGACAAATGAGGCTGCTTGGCCTCAGCGTTCAATAGGACAAACGTTCCTCACACAGACTGTGGGTGCAAACACGTATTTCAATATATGCCTAAATGTCAATCAGCGTGCCGAAAGAACACTGTCCATTTTATCACCGTTATCATATTTACATTTGGTAACTATGGCCAAGTTTGGGTATACTTGATGCTTGATATCAAAACTTTATTGTACTATCTGGTTTAGTTTGTATCAAAAATTTTCTTTCTGTTTGGCAATTTCGACTCACCACTTACACTAAAAGCTTCCTGAAAGATCCGCTCTGTCCGTTGTTTCCGTAACATTTCAATGGGCGGCCTACTACCCTCTGTACACATCCGCCATGCATTTCTACAGATAGTAATAAAGTCCCACGCGGCTATTCCTCCAAATATAGCACACAGCAATACTACCCCAATTGTCCCTATGCTCTGGGCTGACCGGCGCTCATCAGATACACTAATGTATTTCCTTTGTGTCGAAGATAAATTCTTTTTGTCGACTTTTATCTCGCGGACTATTTCTTGTACAATTATTTCCATTTCTTCAGACGTCAGGTCTTCCGGCAAGAAAGATGCACAAGGGCACCAACAGAGTGAACTTCCGTTTGCGCCGGAAGTACTTCTGGGGGTGGTTGTAGTCTGAAGGTCGTCATGTTCCCTTGGAGCTGAATCGGTCCGAATGTCGACACCTGATGGGTCTTTAGCCACAATTGCCCGCTGATTGTCCCCCGTGGTAATTGTAGAAGAGATTGAATGAAATAGCTGGGCATTTATAGAGTTGGGCAACATTTTTTCTATTGAGGAAAGATCGGGTTGAAGTGTGATTGAAAAGGGTACAATTTGAACCCCAGACGACGAGCTTGTTTCGGTTCCACTATCGTAATTTGTCAAATGGAAAACACCAGTTTTGTCACTCAGCGTTGGTGATACACTGAGTGACTCCATTAACGTTGAAAGAAATTCCTCTGTGAACGCCACATTTGGAGTTTGAAGGGTGGTCGTCAAATGTAACAGGTCTCTCGGGAAGTCATATCTCATGAACGAATTAATTCCGTTTGGTGTTGATTCAATGGATTCAGTGACCATGTTGATGAAACCATAGGGGACTCGAACAGCTGAATGGGAAGGAAAGTCTGATGAAAAGGCAACAGGATCGGCGGCGATGTTTATGGTAGAATGTGGGGAAAAACTTGCCTGTAATGCCATTGGCGACAATGAATTAATAGACTGTGTCTGGTCTCCGTTGGCGTTTAAGCCTGATGACAAATGGACGCTGCGACCACTCTCAGGTGAATCCAGTAGAGATGGGGGCCGCGTTGACCTGACCATGGGTGTTGGCCGCGTTTTGGTATTTTCATAAAGCATATTTTGGGATGTTATCATTTTGGGCGTTAACTCATCAGATGAATATATGGCTTTTGAAGAGGATGTGTAAATGGCAGAGACAATGTCTGACTCCAGTGATGTCCCCTGTGTGTCGAGGATGATAACAGGTTGGTTATGATTTGTTTCAGTAAAGTTTTCCATCCAACAACCTTGATCGGGTATCGGCGAGATGTAGGTTGACGGAGTTGGATGTTGGTTGACAAATGCTTCAAAGAGAAAAAAACAACAGTAAGTCAACACGGGGACATGGGTGGTCAGGAGGTAAAAGGCGCCGTAAACTGCTGTGCAGAGTTGCATCCCTTTGACATGCCAGAAACCTAAAAGTGTTGGTTCGAATCTCGGTTCGCCCCGATTGTTTTTTTTTTATGTTTGTCAGCACAATACCCGTGCTCGTGGGTTTCACCGAAGTGGTAAGGTCTGATATCTGCATCACTTCGGATTTTCCTCCCACATTAAGTTGACACGCCGTGATATAACTGAAATACTGTTCAAAGCGACGTTAATTCCAACTCACTCACTCACTCACGTAAGGACAAAACAATGAAAATGTAGACAGCGCCATTATCACGACACCACTGTGGCCCACACGGTGGACCTGATTCAAAAAGAATGAGTGAGTGAGTGGGTTTAAGGCCGCTTTGACCCTACCTCTAGGCATGTCACAGTGTGTCCGCTGACAAACTAAAGATAACAATCAGGGCTAATTCTGGATTCAGGATATGATACCTTCAGGAGACAATTCGGCTGAGCAAATTAAGGATATTCAGATATGGATTGGTGTGACACCAGGTTAAGATAAGATTGACGAAACAACAGGTTCAGATAAGATTGACGAAACAACAGGTTCAGATAAGGTTGACGTAACAGGTTCAGATAAGATTGGTGAAACAAAAGGTTCAGATAAGATTGCTGTAACAACAGGTTCAGATGAGATTGATGTAACAACAGGTTCAGATATGATTGGTGTAACAACAGGTTCAAATTAGACTGACGTAACACCAGGTTCAGATAAGATTGACGTAATACCAGGTTCAGATAAGATTGATGTGACACCAGGTTCAGATAAAATCGGTGTATCAACAGGTTTAGAGTGAGTGAGTGAGTGAGTATGGTTTTATGCCGCTTGTAGCAATATTCCAGCAATATCACGGCGGTGGACCCAAGAAATTGGCTTCAGACATTGTACAAATGTCGGGAATCGAACCCGGGTCTTCGGCGTGAAGAGCGAACGCTTTAACCATTAGACTATCCGACCGCCCCCCAACGGGTTGAGATAAGATTGATATAAAATGGGTTTGTTTGTTGTTGAACGCCGCACTCAGCAATATTCCAGCTATATAACGGCGATATTGATATAACAACAGGTACAGATAGTTATATCTGTAATACGGGGACGGTTGGGTAGCCTAGTGGTTAAAGCGTTCGCACGTCGAGCCGAAGACCCGGGTTCGATTCCCGACACAGGTACTAAGTTTCCTCCAACGCTGACGATTTAAATTCAATACCTTTAAAGCAATTCTTGACGTGCAGTTCCGCTTCATTGTCCTTCTCAAGGGTCAATACACCCACGTCCAACAGAGGTTCGAGTTGAAAATGTAATAAGCATGAGTTGTTTGTGTAATAGTATGTGAGTGCCCAACACTCCAGACTGCCGATCTCCATCTTTCTGCACTGGGCCTGGCACTGGGATGCGGTTGCGCGGTTCACCTGTCGGGTGGCCATCATTGAATCCGGGTACTTCACTCCCCGCCAGATGTCAAATAAACAAGCACCTGTTAAGTAACGTCATATGTTAGTGTAAAGTAGACTCATATATCAGTGGTAAATTAGACTCCTATATTAGAGGTAATTAGACTCATATATTAGTGTAAAGTAGACTCATATATGAGTGTAAAGTAGACTCATATATCAGTGGTAAATTAGACTCCTATATTAGTGGCAAATAAGACTGCTATATTAGAGGTAAATTAGACTCAAATATTAGTGTAAATTAGACTCATATATTAGAGGTAAATTAGACTCCTATATTAGTGGTAAATTAGACTCCTATATTAGTGCAAAGTAGACTCATATATCAGTAGCAAATTAGACTCCTATATTAGTGGCAAATAAGACTGCTATATTGGAGGTAAATTAGACTCCTATATTAGTGGTAAATTAGACTCCTATATTAGTGGTAAATGAGACTCATATATAAGTGGTAAATTAGACTCCTATATTAGAGGTAAATTAGACTCCTATGTTAGTGGTAAATTAGACTCCTATATTAGTGGTAAATTAGACTCCTATATTAGTGGTAAATTAGACTCATATATTAGAGGTAAATTAGACTCATAGATTAGTGTAAAGTAGACTCATATATTAGTGTAAAGTAGACTCATTTATTAGTGTAAAGTAGACTCATATATTAGTGTAAAGTAGACTCATATATTAGTGTAAAGTAGACTCATATATTAGCCCGGAGAGCGGAAGGTCCGGGGTTCGATCCCGGTCGCGTCATACCAAAAGACGTTTAAAGCTTGTACTTGTTGTTACTCTGTCTGGTGCTCGGCTTTAAGGGGCTAAAACAAGGACTGGTCGGCTCGGAACCAGTATACTGTGGGTGGGTGGGGTATTTATGCTAACTGCGTCATGGTATCTCAGTGGGCTAGCACTATAAAATAATCTGCAATAATCTTGGACGCGACGTTAAACCCATTTCACCTCACCTCACCACACCTCGCCTCGCCTCGCCTCACCTCACCTCACCTCACCTCCGTCGAGCATCAATGTCTCAGTATGGTGGGAAGGTTAAGGTAGGAATGTCCCCAAATTTTGCACTTCACATGGGCGGAAACTATGACAAAGTTCAAATTAAGTGAGTTAGATTTAGACAAGGTTACTCAACAAGTGACTCGGTCGAGGGCTCAGTTAACAGGTGTCTGAAAAAAATGTTTGGTCGCGCAATACCTTTTCAAAAGACGATATTTGGTATATTTTTGTTAAAGCCATGAACGTATACATTTACGATCATTTGACCTCCCTGCTAAGTAGTTCACGTTAAGAGTAAGTTACGTGTTATCGTGAATACATGAGGAATCTGTGTAAAATACGTATTAGTTGAAATGATGGTGGTAGCCACGGACACAATGAATTAATCGTGTTGTATAATATTGGTCGAGCTTCACTCGGGTTGGTTGGTTGGTTGGTGGTTGTTTAACGCCGCACTCAGCAATATTCCAGCTATATGACGGCGGCCTGTAAATAATCGAGTCTGGCCCAGACAATCCAGTGATTAATATCATGAGTATCGATCCACGCAATTGGGATCGATGACATACATAAACCAAGTCAGTGAGCCTGACCACCCGATCCCGTTAGTCGCCTTTTACGACAAGCAAAGTCACCTTTTACGGCAAGCATGGGTTACTGAAGACCTATTCTACCTCGGAATCTTCACGGGTCAGCTTCACTCGGGAGAGATTGCTCATAAGAAGAGGGTCTTTCTAAGTGCTCACCGGCGCTGCCTCCGCAAATAAACGGTAGTTTATGGTCACAGGCTGTTGATCGCCATTTGCCTGATCTCCATGACGACGACACACACAGACCGTCCACTTCCGGTATTGGTGTGTTCCAGTTTGAAAACGAGGCTGTGTCAGAACAGTCGTGCCATACAAATGGGGCCGAGATGTCGTTGTAATGCCGGTGTAAGCCGATCCAATTATCTTGATAGGCACTGTGGATTAAGAGAGAGGATGTATTTACTCGGTGCAACGCCCAAGGGAAGAGCACCGGGATTGAACATATCGCGATTGAAGCGCATTGTTCGCCCATATCGTCACGCGGAAGGCCAAGGTTCGATTCCCCAAATGGGGACAATCTGTTTGTTTGTTGTTTAACTCCTTACACAGCAATATTCCAGCTATTTTGAAGGCGGACTGAAAAAAATCGAGTCTGAACCAGACAATCCAGTGATGGATATCATGATCCTCGATCAAGTCAGCGAGCATGACCACCCGATCCCGTAAGTCGCCTCTGACGACAAGCATAATCGCCTCTTTATGACAAGCACGGGTTGCTGAAGACCAATTCTAACCCGGATCTTCACGGGTTGGGACAATCTGTTTAACCCGACTTTGGTGTTCCATGTCGTGATGTGGTTGGTATTGAAACAGCGTAGTCCTTACAGACTATTTAATTAAATTTCATTAAATGTCCCTATGGGGACAGGGAGATATATTCGAGAAGACGTAAATGAATGAGTGAGTAAAGTTTTATGCCACTTGTACCAGTAATCCAGCAGCAGTAAGGTTTTGGACACAAAAAACTATGGCTATCAAGGGAGTCGAACCTGGGACCTCAGCGTGACGAGTGATTGCATTAACCCCTGTAGGGACTCCGGGTGAGAGGTCCCTGCTATGCTGGTTCGTTTGTTTGTTTATTGATTAACTTTATTGCCGCACTCGGCAATATTCCAGCTATATGACGGCGGTCTGTAAATAATCGAGACTGGACCAGACAATCCAGTGATTGTCATCATGAGCACCGATCTACATAATTGGGATTCGATGACATGCATCAACAAAGTCAGCGAGCCTGACAACCCAATCCCGTTAGTCGCCTCTTACGACAAGCATAGTCGCCTTTTATGGCAAGAATGGGTTGCTGAAGACCCCGGATCTTCACGGGTGTCTTCCGGTCCAGACTCTATTACTTACAGGCCGCGATGATATATAGCGGATATTCCATGAGTCGAGTGAAATATCTCCCTTCCCCCGTCACGAGATAAGAGAACATGATATTTCCACGAGACACATGGAACATCCTATCTATCATATACCTCTTATGTAGTTGTCTACCAGAAAGTATGATTATTTCATTACGAATGCAAAACCTTGAAACATAAATTCTCCCTACCTAACAAACAAGGACGTTTCACCATCCATTGTAATTGTGACATAAAAAGTAGTTTTGAAAGTTCTGTTTGAAAAATCTTGAAAAATACAAAGAAAAGTAACAAAAAATATTTGAGGTCAATAAAAATCTTTATTATATACTCTGCAAATAAAGAAACGCAAGAATAGTAGTGTTACCGATATCCATACAAAAATAATACCAAAAATGCATTCGACATTTCTCCATGGATTGGGATGGATTTGTGTGGGGAAAAATGAGATGCTGCAGAAATTTGTGGAAAAGATGGGAAATTCGCAAAAAACATCGGCCGACTGCATACAGGCGAATCATCTTCGGTCGTGACCAGGATTTTCAACATAGCACCAAGCACCAAGAACCGTTATCAGAAACACTGAACAACACGTGACCTTCCCCGTTCCGGTCCACCACGTATCACTGCTAGAGCACAGGGTGGTTTCATACGGCGGCGTCATTTACGTGAAAGAACCACCACGGCCACCTCAACAATACCAGGATTGCGTACGATATCAGCCCTGTCAGTGAGCCGCTGAATGTTCTCGCCAGACGACCAGTTCGAGGAGTCATTGTGACGGACCTGTATCTTCGGCTGCGAAGTCAATGCGATGGAGACTAGTTTGGTTTAGTGATGAGTCACGTTTAATGCTTCGCCGTGCGGATGGCAGACGACGTGTTTACAGGCGTCGCGGGGGAACGGTATGCACGAAGCTGCAGACATGAAGTGGACAGATTTGGAGGTGGTAGCGTGGTGATGTGGGCCGCCATCTCCTACACTGGTAGAACAGACCTGGTGCAAGTTCCAGGGAGTGTAACGTCACAACAGTACACGGATGAGATTCTTCTTCCATACGTCCTTCCCGTTAAGGAACAAAGCGAACGACATTCAGGCATCACAACATCCATGTCCTACCATGGCACTCCAGGTCTTCAGATTTAAACCCAATCGAACATTTATCGGATGCCCTGGATCAACGACTGCCAGGACGTTAGCAGCAACCACAGTGCCTCCGACTGTTGGCACAAGCAATGCAGGAAGACTGGGTGAACAACGACTATCCACAGTCTGGGATATGATTGCTTCTATGGGACAACGATGCCAGTCAGATGGCCATACAAGATATTAAGCACAAATGACCTTCACCTTGAAAATCTACAGTTCTATATGTACCATATGGATTCTGGGTCAATGACAATGATGTGTGACAATTTTGAACAATCGATTACCATCTGTTTATTATTGATATGATGTATAAAATATACATCTAGATCACTTTTGCGTTGTTGTTTTGAGGTTGTTGTTTTTGCAGAGTATACATTTGGATATGAATATAAACTGACGTCCAAAAGAAACTTTACCAGAGTTTGAAATCACTCTTGCTCAAAAACAACAAAACATACATACATGAAGTAAAGTGTATTGAGAAGATCAATATATCAACATAATCAACACTGAAAATGACAATCATACCGCGACCGAGAATGACGTCAGAGCCCCCAAAAGTTGGGTGTGGTACAAAACTCGAGCTTTCAGAATCATGGACAAAAGGCAGAGTACATAAACAATCGCTCACGTTCAATTACAAGTCATTAGTAGCGTGTGTGACCACCAAATGCCTCAATACACGCAAAAACTCTTCGACGCACAGAAAAAGTCAGTCGTCTGATGAGGTCACGTAGGATTTGACGCCATTCTTCTTGGAGAGCCAAGATCAGTTCTTGCCGGTTGGCTGGAGAGTGTGGTCGTTATCGAACACGACGATTCATCCAGTCCCAGAGGTGTTCTATGGGGGACATGTCGGGTGAGCGTGCAGGCCACGGCAGGACGTTGACGTTGTTGGCTGCGAGGAAGTTAGTGACAATCCTGGCTGTATGGGCTCTAGCGTTGTCATGCTGATAAATGACACCACGTGGCTGCTATTGGAGAATGGTAGGACAACTGGACGAAGAATGTTATCCATGTAACGGTGAGCTGTCAAGTTTCCGTCAACGATGACCAGCGGTGTCCTGTCCTGCCCACAGATCCCTCCCCACACCATGACACTCCCTCCATCATATGGTACGACCTCCTGCACGCAACACGCCGCCGTTCGTTCACCCTTTCGGCGGTAAACACGTTGTCTTCCATCAGCCCTAAACATACAGAATCGATTTTCGTCAGTGAAGACAACCCTCTGCCAGTCACGGCGTTGCCAACGTCGTACAGTCCGGGCCGATCTCAATCGCAGACGACGATGTTGCGCTGTAAATAGCTGTCCTCTGTATGGTCTAAAAGCCCTGATTCCAAGAGTCCTGAGTCTCCTGGCCACTGTCTGTCGACTAACCCTGTGACCTAATGCATATGTCGCCGATGACGTCACTGTCAGGAAGCGATTTCGGAGGTGCAAGGTACGCAAGTACCGGTCATCATTTGGCTAGGTCACCCTGGGTCTGCCTGTTCTTGGCCCGTCAGCGGTCCGCCCTGTCTGTCTGTAACGTTGCATCAAGTTGGTAATGGCAACACGGGAGCAACCGAAGGTTCGTGCAATATGGGCGTTGGTGGCTCCCATCTGTACCATACTCAAGGCTCGTTCACATTGTTCGACTGTGAGTCGTGGCAATTCTTTTGTGTTTTTTATCACTGTGGATGTCTGACTTGCCGCTGCAATCGTTTTATACCCTTACCCGCACGTGCATTTGCAGTTGTCCGTGGTGCACGTGTTTTTCACTTTTTCGCGTGTTATCTCGCAAACATGTTACAGCCGATTAACATTTTCTGCATACATTATTGTTATATTTGGGTTATGTGTTTTAGATAGACTTCATCGGAAAAAAATTATACTTTGTCTGAAATTTATACTTTCAGTTGGTAAAGTTTCTTTTGGACGTCAATTTATATACAAAATCAACTTCAATGAAAAATAGTCTTTGAAATCTACGAGACCGCTGTTGGAAGCGAAAGAATTCACGCTAGTTAAATAACAAAAATGGCACTTTGCGAAACAAATCGTCTCGATTGGCTAGTAAAATGAGAAATTTACAGTTTATAATGGAACGTTTTCAAGAGAATGACAAACGACAAGAGGTGATATTAACTTCATAAATTACCATCTGCCATAAAGTTGCCTTATCAATGTGGAACTAACGTAAAAAGAAAGTCACCAGTTGGTGTACAGGCTCGACACCTATGAAGGGGAGACAACTCTTGTAAGACAATAGTTCCGTCATTTTAAGTGTTCTATTCACTGCAATGAAGTATATAATGAAATGGTATATTACTGACTGTGGCGTTCAGCAAAATTTACTCAATGGTTTAATATGATACAGACACATGTTTCCGAAGTTGATAAATGTTGTTCTTCAAATTTCAGGTTTTGTTTAATACTCACAGAATTGCCTTCCATTCTGGGTCGGTCTTGAACTGAGCGATAATCATCCACGTGACGTAGTCTGTCTCCATCAGTAGAGACTGTCCGTTGATCTTACACACCGTATTGGCGTCATTCCACGACCGTGGGCTGGAGTACAGCAGAAACAGCGTGCGGGAGGTCGGCAGCGTCAACACTTGAAAATAAGCATCCATCATTCGTCACCACTTGCCCCTTTCAGTAACCTGCCAGAAAACTTGTCCCCCTATCGATGAATGTTATGTGCGAAAATACGACAAATCAATCAGAATGTGCGATTACATTAAGATGAAGTGAAATAAGGTTTAACTTTGCGTTCAAGGTTATTGCATGAAATAGCGACATGCCTGCACGTATATGTATGAGCGTGTGTGCGTGCTTTCGTGCGCGCGCGCGTCAGTGTAAGGTTTTTTATCCAGTTTTATTGTGCTACCTGGCAGAGATACCATGCCGAAGTATATCGATACTATGATTGGGTGGGATGAAAGGTGAGGTGAAATGGGTTTTAACGTCGCGTCCAAGATTTTTGCACTTATATAGCGACGTACAGGCACGTGTGGGTGCGTGTGCGTGTGTGTGCTTGTACTGTTCCGGACTGATGCCGATTTTATAGTGAGATACCATGCCGCAGTTTAACATAAATACCCCACTGAGACACAGTATACTATACGGACGCCCTATCCAGCGTTGAATCTGCATCATTTCCAGGTTGAGGTATTCACACTACACCAAACCTGCTAGTAACGGTTCCTCGGCTGGCAAGTCATTCCTAGTCATTTAATTCACAATTGACCTTTGACCTGATTTCATAGGGAATAGGAAAACCGATATCGCAATACATGTTGTGATATTACCAATTGCAATAGTGACTGAAATGCATCTTCCCGAGGCAAGGGACACACAAGCCCTTGCAAAACTAGACTGGAATTCCGGAATTACATTTTGCCTGGACTAATGAGTCTTTGCATAGTCCAATCAAAATCGCGGAAAGGCTACTGGAGGCGCTACGATCGAGCCTGAAAATTCCAGCCTGGTTCGGCAAGGGTGGAAACTGGACTTCTCTTGTCAGCCAACTCCCTTGCCTCGATAAATGCTGAATTGTGTTAAACAGGTAAAATGCCCGTGATATAGTCGTCCATTGCAGTGCGACTTACCCGGTCCAGGAGACAGGAGACACACACATGCCCATGCAGCAGTGTAGAGGCAGCATGCTGTCTTCATCTGAAACAAACTCATTGGTTGATAGACGCACCAATTTCATTAAAATCGGACCTCAGTTCTTGCTACCGCTAAACAAAGATCTGAGGACATCCCATTACGGGTCACGTCAGAACGACCTTTCATCAAACCAATCAGAGCATCGCTTACAAGATTATGAAAGTGACAGTCGGAATGTGATTTCTAATCATGCAACTTCGAAAACTTTAACTCCGAACGATAGTTACGGGTTTAACGACTAAATCCATACAATCTAGACCATCTATTAGCCATTCCAGAATGTTCTTTTGTTCAGGTTTCAAATTTGTAATCGAGAATTTGTCAAAATATGTTTCGAAGCGTAGTCGCGAGATAATTAAGTTTAGATTTAAACTAATCAACTTCCTCTTTATCGCTCGTCACGTGGCGCCATATTGGTCGCTGATACATTATGAAGTCGTTAAATGAACTTTGCCTCCTGGTATCGAAGGTTTTTTTCCTGGGCTTTTCATGTTTCGGTGTTGCTTTATGTTTTTCACTAATACGAAAGTTCACTTTAACATGTCATTTTCAAAAGGTGATTGGTGGATCCTCGGTAACACACACACACACACACACACACACACACACACACACACACACACACACACACACACACACACACACACACACACACACACACACACACCACTGAGGCGAAAGATGCTGTTGGTGTGTACGGGCTCCATCAACCTCCACAACAAGCTCAGTTGGACTCACCTCGACGTCGGGAGCCGGGGAAGGGTAGAATCACGAACCTACCGTTTTCTTGAAATCGCTAAAGACGCACTATGGTTCAAATATCAATAATATGTGTGCAAACTGTGACACACATATTAGGCAAGTTTATTTCCTTAAAGATGGTAAAGAAAATATGGGCATTCAATATAGGTGGGGACATGATTATACATTTTAGTAACGCCATTTTCCCACGTCCATGGTCCATGACTACGATCATGCCCATATCACGCCCATGCCCACGCCCGCGCCCAACTCCAAGACCTTACCCATGCCCACGCCCAACTCCAGGACCACACCCACGCCGACGTCCAACTACAAGACTACGCCCACACCCATCTGGGTTCTGGGATAAGACTTGGTCAAATAAAGCATGGAACCAAACGTCCATACACATATTGTGTGGAGGCACTCGGAAGTCACGTTTGTCAATTTAACAAAACATAAATCGTACGTCCGCTTTGTTATGGAGGCAACCAAGAACGAGGATGCAATTTGTTTTGGGCGGTTGGCAGCCTAGTGGACCAGTGTTCGCTCGTCAAAGTGTCTGTCCCTCGTGATATTGCTAGAATATTGCTAAAAGCGGCGTTAAACTATATTCACTCACTTTTATTTGTTCGTGCCTCACTCAAAGGATTTAAAATTCTTATTATTATGGAAAGTTGTGTCGCCTTTGTGAGTTTAATCTTTTTGACATGAGACAATATCCGTGCATAGCTATAAAAGTGCTGATGCAGCAATATAAATGATGCCACTTTATTACAGTAACTCTCTAAACCACGACTGGCTTGTCGTAGCCAACACGAAGGTAAGTCATAAACAGGAGAATGCTTTTCAGGGAATGGTTTTATCATCTTATTTAGTGCTTCCAACTATCAGGCAAGACTCCGGATATAACCACCAACACAGCCTGTTGTGCAATGTCAAGAATATACTTGTGCACTGAGTGCCTTGTCTGACTATGGAATATGGACCTACCGCACGCTTCAACTATCTAAGATCACTGCCATGTATTCTGTCGGACGTTGGTTTAGTCTTTGTACAGGATAGAGTAAACATGGAATACTCAGAACATTAACAACGTCAACATCAATTGGCGATCTGTTTGTGTCCCAAAGGGGAATAACTCTACTGGGGATCTGAACGACATCAGCGGTAATGATCACAACGCCAAAGCCTTAGCGGCGCAGGAGCAGGTAGACAAAGTGTATACGAATTTCAAAAACTTTGAGCATCCAATCATATTTTGTTCCAAAAAAAGTACGAAACGCAAAATGCATATTATTTGCACTCACCTAACATAAAATGCCTCGTTCCATTTCCAACAATTTATGAGTGAGTGAGTGAGTATGGTTTTACGCCGCTTGTAGCAATATTCCAGCTATATCACGACAGGTGACACAAGTAATTGGCTTCACACAATGTACCCATGTGGGGAATCGAACCCAGGTCTTCGGTTCGACGAGCGAACGCTTTGACCACCTGGCTACCCATCGCCCCTCCAACAATCTGTATCCGTGCTTGTGTCCACGAGTCATTGCAACTATAGGTAGTTGTGCCTTGGGTGCGAACAATTAGCATGCAAGAAACATGCAAAGAAGCATGCAAGAAGCATGCAAAGAAACATGCAAAGAAACATGCAAAGAAGCATGCAAGAAACATGCAAAGAAGCATGCAAAGAAGCATGCAAGAAACATGCAAAGAAGCATGCAAGAAGCATGCAAAGAAACATGCAAAGAAACATGCAAAGAAGCATGCAAAGAAGCATGCAAGAAACATGCAAAGACGCATGCAAGAAGCATGCAAAGAAACATGCAAAGAAGCATGCAATGAAGCATACAAGAAACATGCAAAGAAGCATGCAAGAAGCATGCAAAGAAGCATGCAAGAAACATGCAAAGAAGCATGCAAGAAACATGCAAAGAAGCATGCAAGAAACATGCAAAGAAGCATGCAAGAAGTGGTGTTCTCACATTCAGTGTCCCAGAGATGAAGTTAATATGTGTTGTGGTGACAACTGGGCCACCCGTACCCCCGCATCTGATCAGAACTTTTATCTGTGTATCAATGTTTTAAAAGTAAGGAATCGTAACAGTATCGAAAGCAGAATGACGATTTTAAACGAAATGGTCTAATTATTTCAAATCAAGTTGATTAGTGACATTTGAATCCATAAAGGAGATGTTAATATCATATATATGAAGTATATGAAAGTATATACCGAAAGAATATAAAAGCGATGACACGATGCTTTCAGTGCAGCTGTGCTGGGATAAATATTATAACCCGTTTAAAATAAGTATGTAATCTCCACCATCACCCCTTCACCCCCAGCTCACACATACCCTTCCGCATGTCCAACCCATCCTCCAGTAAGAATTAAACATGTTGAGATGTGTTGACCGCCAAATTCCAGATTAAAAGTACAGAAGGGTCTCGTTAAATCGAAGTCGTCGAAAGAATGAAAAAACAGTTCGAGTTTTCGTAATTCCAGAAAAGGTTATTCGATGGTGATGTATTTAATATGTGCATCATAGTTGTATTTTGGATCGTAAGTTTGCGGTGTTTCGGTGACTGTTTTCAGCCAGTAACGTTTTGATAACGTTTCTAATGTTTTGGTCAATTACAATTTTAAAGTGTATACTATATTTTTCACGAAAATTGTTATGAAAACATAGGAGGAAGAAGACTAACTGTGGTTAAGATACGTTTATCATGAAAGAATAGTTCATCAAAGTGCCTTTCTACATTGCCCTATATACTAAACGCCGTGGTCATTCTTCTGTGTTTGACATTTCCGGTATCGATCACGTGACCTACACAAACATCCGGTTCACTGAGCACGTCTGATGGCAGCGATTATTGGCGGCCGTGTCTTCAATCGCCCCATCACAAAATCAATGCGTGGTTGAAATGAATATCAGAGAAATTAGCAACCTGTGAGGTTCATTTCACATGTCAATATCGCCTTGTATATGTCAGTTACGTGATTCATGCGGCCATGCGCCACAAGTAAGCCTACACTAATGGAGAACATTGCCTTTACATGCAAGTTGTGTAAAATACCTTGGTGGCGTTATTGTATCCCCGCTTCCGTTTGTTATCAGCTGTCAACATGGCGCAACCGGGGGCAATGGATCAGACCCTTAAAGTAGCGTGACAACGTGGCGCAACCGGGGGCAATGGATCAGACCCTTAAAGA